TTGGGTAATTTTCTACCCAGAGAACAGGTTTTGTCCCCTCCCCCACATCTGCTGTTAAAATTTACAACCCCCATGAAAACCAAGAAAATTTACAATTTTCTTGTAGTGGAATTCGATTAACGATATTGGGAAGGAAGTCACAAAGACATAGGGCCATTTTATTTATTCCATTCCACTTTGGACAATATTCCCAAACTGGTTGCCTCAATTGTGTGCCTTATTACATTTTTAAGGCCGAAAATGCATGACAATAACTTTAGTTCACTAATTGGTGTAAAACGTTTTGACATCACAGTATGTTTTTTCATGGGTGTGCGATAGACTAACCTCCACGCGGTGCACCCTGGGCAACGTATACTCAAACGGCAAAAAGTCTATTAACAGGCAGTTGACTTCTCGCTTCAAACTCTCATAACCCCACTGTGTGTCATATTTGACTACTTCAACAGTACTCACCTCTCCTTTTCAGCTAAAGGACTAATGATAACTATCAAAACGTCTGCCATTTGAAATGAATAAATAAATAAATGTTTTTTCGTTCTTCTTCATATCTGAGTTAGGTGAAAATCCTGACACATATTTATTGTACCGCTATGTTCAATCGACTGTGAAGCGCTCAAATTCAGTATGTGCCATACAAATATATATATATATATGTGTGTGTGTGTGTGTGTGTGTGTGTGTGTAATTATATAATGTTAATAAATATATATCTCAAAATGATAAACATACACAGGGGCAGTTAATGGAAGGGGTATCCCATGCCGGCTTCAAGACGATCACCGAAGTAGAATCTTTCCGTTCCTGCTTTTGTAGCGAAGATTCTAGGGCATTATTACTCATGCAAATCATGCAAATCAAAATGAAAGCAGAATAATAAATAAAAGAGGCGCAGAACTGTCAAAATTGACCTCACATGCAAATTTGACAATTTCAAAGCGACCATCTGACCGATTACGACGTACCTGTGGAGGTCTGAAATCAAGAAAGTATGACAAGTTATCTGCTGTCCATTTAAGCCTCAATAGCATTAATTTGATTTGATAACCAATAGAATCACACCAAAATTTACTTCATTTAGGAGGCAACTTAGGTCATATCTTCTTTTGAACTGAAAGGAAAGCTGTGCAAATAGTGTCATAATGAAATTCCATTTCAACACAACACGAAAAAACTACTTGACTCGAAGAGGAAATCCTCGGACGAAGAATAATCTAAGGGAATACTATTGATTTGATTATCGATTTTCCATAAGTAGCAGATTCACGACACAAATTCAATACAAGCCACACTGGTTCCATGCTTGACGAAATACAAATCACCACAAATCACGAAAAAGGCCAATGAATGGAAGAGGCTGGTGAAACAGATTTGTAAGTAATCTCCGAAATGTACCACTTTTCACCCATGTAAGTTTAACAGGTGACTAAGCAATCAAAAATTATTTAAGTGCCTGTGGGCAAAATTGTTCATTGCATTTAAACAAATACTCAATGAATACGTTCGCTTATTCAATGAAGACACTAAATTACCGAATTTTAACAATATTAATAAAAGTACAGAGGTTCTCTACTGTTCACGCAAAAGAGTTTCTAAACGAAGTACTTTAAAGAAATTGGACTTTAACTTCCTGCATATATAGTGCCAAAACATAAATCAATGAATAAAAACAAGCAGGAAGGTAAATATTTGGATCTCACAAGGTCAAGTGATCTGTGTCTAGGAAAATTCCTGCAACTCCTATCGATTTCCGACTTTTGAAGATATCTATTGGGTGCAGACCCTGCTCGAACTCTCGTTGTTGTAGGCAGTTGATAAATCCACCTGGCAAATGCAACTCTGGCAGCGTGCTCTTCAGATAAAGGGGACCTAGGAGATCCTGCCGGATAAAATGGTTTTGCGTGGTTAAGCGATGACTGTTTTGAGATGATTGACGTTCGACTTCTTTGAGGTTTTCTTTTGCCAAAGTATAACTTTGACAAGGTGACATATTCCGAAACTTTATCATAAATGTCCTCTGGAGGAAAGTTTTCTTTTTGAGCTTCTTTCCACTCCCAGGACTGTGTCCTTTCAATTGGTGGTGAACCTGAGTAATCGCGATCTGCGGGTTTGTACTTACGCCCGCGACTTTGAATATACGGCTGTGGATTCAAATTTATGCTTCTCGCTCTAGGTCCTCCAAGATCCACTGATTTCGAAGTGGGCTTCTCTTTTCCCATATTTTAATCAATGAGTTGTTACATGCCCACAAGAAGGCAATTTTAGAAGTGATTAGCCAATATCATTTTAGGGCGAGAAACAATGGTAGATGATCCGTAGATTACTACAGGTTTTGATCCGCATAAAAAACCACTATACCACGTGCAGTTATGTACTTTTAATTTCTGATTTTAATTAGAACCTAATTTAAGTGAAACTTTAATTTCTCACCTACTTCTCTTAATAAATAAGATAGCAATTTTGTGCATGGAAAATGAAAAACAGTGAAAACAATCGATAATGAATCGTGCATCACCAATGACAACGCAAATAGATAAACGCATTTACAAATTCACAAATGTGTTGGCACCAAAAATACAAAATCGATCTTACTTTTCTTTCATCTTTTCTTCGATTTATTGCACTTACGAACTGTAATTATAACTGATATTTAAAAATCCGGTTATGATTAATATACAGATATTGTAAGAAAATAATATGTTTGAAGTAATGAAGGCTTTTACTCAAACAGCATATTGTGAAAATAATAGTTTGAAACCAGTAATTCAAAAATAAAATCAATGGAAAATGGAAAGATACAAAGACAGGCCTATTAACTCGCATATAACTTTAGATAATTAACTGTCAAAAATAATGGATTAGTAAAATACTGTTTTTTATTGATTGCAGATGACATACATTGCTTTTGGCAGTTCCTGTTTTGGCAGACATTTTTTCGGAGGTAATTTTCTCTCCAAATGAAATAGCAAATACTTCTTCAACGTGGATTGAATTCCTTTTGGCCCAGCGGTTCAAAGAAACGAACGCAAAATGCGCGTTCAACTTCATCAATATTTCCAAGTAGCCAACCACCCCTTCCTTGGCCATTCGTCCAATGAGATTTTTGGATGCAAGGCAGTAGCTTGTTCGCTTAGCCAATAGAGTTGGTGCATATATACCAACTAAGATAAAGTCAAATCCACACATTACGAAGGTCATTTCCATCACTCATCTTGGGCAAAGGGGGGAAGTGTCATTGAGTTGCCCCTGTGACAAACTCGAACTCTGAAACACTTTTATTAAACAAACTTAACCAACAAATTTCGAATTTGTTGGGCATGCAAACATGAACATCGAAATTCGAACATCGAACCCGTGACATATGATTTAACAATTGAGAAATCTATTCCTAGTTCAACAAGCAAGAATTTATTGCTTATTTGTAAAACAATGGAGTCGTTTTAAGATAGTCTGATAATGAATTTTGAACATTTTAACACATGATGCCGAAATACCAAGCATATTTTGGGTAAACAATTTCTACGAAAACACAAGCAATTTATTGGGGGTGGGGGTGGGGGTGGGGTGTGGAGGGCTAAGAGCGCTCTTTTCTTTATTTTTATGTGTTTCTTTAATTGCTGTTCTTGCTAGCAGAGCTGAGAGGTCCTTCTAACCCCTAACAAAAGAGATTAATGGAGGAATAGGGTTTCCAGACGTGCGCTGAGTGGATGCTATTGGAATGATTTTTACAGAGTGAACAATAATATATTATTTAACTAAGGAGAAGACCAAAATGAGTGGAATTATCAAATGTACTGCCTCCAATGTTGTGGGATATTTATTTATTTCAAATGACAGACGTTTTGATAGTTATCATTAGCCATTTAGCTGATTTCGGGCTTCACAGAGGGGACAAGGAATATCAAAGTGACAAAAAGTGGAGAGGAGGGACAGTGTAATGATTAACAGATGTGAAAGAGTCAGACAGACACAAAGGCAGAGAAAAGGTAAGATGAGTACTGTGGTAGGGATCGAATTTGACATACAGTCGGGTCAAGGTAGGGTATAGTCAAAAATCAACTGTCCAACAAAAGATAAGGGACGGGTGGGGGGTGNGGGGGGGGAAGAGTAAGCACGAAGTGGAAAAATTCCTAATAAGTTTGATTTTTGTGCTCAATATTTAATAGGTGAGTAACTCACTTTCCAATTTTCAAATTTCATGATTCGCTCCCTGCATTGCAGAGTAGGTTCAATTACGTCTGTTTTGTTAAATAAAAAAATTCGGTGTTTATTGATCGGACAGTTTTGATATAATAATATATAGTCTAGCAGATATTATTCATGTTTCCCTAGTGGTTAAGAATTTAAATGATCTAAAATAATAGTAAATTGTTCAAAGTTTTAATAAAGCAGATGGCTTAGAAAATAATTTTCATTACTTAGGTAATGAAGCACTTTCTCTTCTATTACTCCTCAACTGACCTTTGTCATAACTATGGCTACTCAAATTTGAAGAGAGACAAATAAGCTTACATAGGGCTGAAACGGCCATTCTTTATTAAGAGAGTAAATACAGATTTAACGACTTGAGCAGATAGTAGATGATTGCTGGGATGGTATGACACTAATTGCAACGGTGGATTCACCATAGGCGATGACACACATCGAGGTTTGGGCACGGGAACCCAAAAATCGATAATCCAGTGCATGAGATGGGGAGAAAGATAATTCGTCTCGAGTGCAAGTGCACCTTTGTCTGGGTGAAGTATCTTTATTCTCAGCGGTACACTTCAAAGGAAAACAGTAAATCTTATCTTAAGTGAGTGCGAAATACAGATAAATCAATTAATCAATTACCGTTAATTTTACAAGTATGGTAATCTAAAGAGAAAAGAGGGGTTTCATAGTGAGGAATTTACGTTATTGAAGGCTTTGTCGTAGTACTGAGGCCAAAGCCGACATTCAATTGAGTTTATGTAAAAATATTATATATATTCTTCCTATTGACTTTCTTAAAAGAGACCAGATTTTTCTCCTAAATAAACCTTCTCTCTTTACGTGTATAAACACCTATTTTTCAAGTTCATGTAATATTGTCTTCTTCCTTTCGTGCTATGCCTTGAGAGGAAAAGAAAGCTTATTGAAAATTCGAAGTTGTACTCTTAAGAAAATTTATTTATTTATATCAAATGAGAGTTATCATTAGCCCTTTATTTGACTTCAGGCTTCACAGAGGGGAAGGAACATCAAAGTGGGTAAAAGTCGAGAGGGGAACAGAAGAGTGATGCACAAATGTAAAAGATACAGACACAAAGGTAGAAAAAAGGTGATGTGAGTACTGTGGATGAAGTCGAATGTGACATACAGTGAGGTGATAGTAGTTTGAAGTCAGAAGTCAACTGCCGGTTTATAGACTTTTTTGCCGCATGACAATACGTTGCCCAAGGTGCACCACGTGGAGGTAAGTCTATCGCACACCTCCTTTTAAGGAAATTAATCTAATTGTATNAGGATAATATTAGAGTACAGCACGGTGATGACTTTTAGTCTTGCGCGATCTAATTGTCACGTTAGCATGACGGACTATTATAACGATTCCGTGGAAATAAATACTTAAAGACCAGAAGATATTTCAAGCCGTTTCTAACACCAATTATCTGAAAGTTGAAGATAACGAGACAGTCGTTCCTCTTGGTTTATCTTTAGTTATCTATCATTTATTTATATCAAATTGCAGGCATTTTGATAGTTATCATTAGCCCTTTAGTTGACTTCAGGCTTCACAGAGGAGAACGAACATCAGAGTGAAAAAAGTCGAGATGGGGGGGGGACAGAAGAGTGTTTCAAATATGTAAAAGAGACAGGCACAAAGGTAGATAAAGGTGAGGTGAGTAATGTGGAAGAAGTCGAATATGACATACAGTTTGGTCATGGTAGTTTGAAGTTAGGAGTCAACTACCAGGTAATAGATATTTTTGCCTCATGAGTATACGTTGCCCAGAGCGCACCACGTGGAGGTTAGTTTTTCGCACACCTCAATTATCTATCATATGGTCGGTAATAATATATATTTAATCTAATTGAAAATAGTGCTCAAAGAACGGTGATAGGATTTCAAGGGAGGAGGCAAATGGATGCTGAAGTCCAATCAAAAAATGCCACTCTAAAATCTTGGAAACGCGTTTACAGAGACGAAGATTAACTCCATGGGCATTTTTTTTAGCAAATGGGAGATAATGGCACAAATGCTATTGAAATTGTATTGACCAAGGCATCTGTGGACAGATGCTAATCATGCGTTCTAACCAGGAAGTCGAAATTTAAATGTTATAGCCTACTAAGAATTTTATGCCATCCACTATTAAATATCGAGCGTAAAATTGTGTGCATTCTCGGCCTCATCAAATCTTCGCAGGCAAAATTGATTGACACTATGTGGCAAGGATGATCTATCAACTCCTATGTACACTAGATTAATGCAATAGGAAGAAAAAATTGGAGTGGGGATGACCTCGAAGTTTTATGAAGAGAAAGCGGATGAAATCGACAAGTCTTTTTTGACTTCACCTTGAGAAATCAATTCTTAAGCTCATCTGGAGTAGTGTACCCTAGATTCCATACTCTCACTCCTGTTGCTTTATATACCGCTCCTCCCCCCTTCCATTAAGTTTAGCTTACTCTCGCTTACACTTATTTAGAGTTTGGCTGTTACCCCCCAAAATAACTATTTGTTCTACCATGGGAAATAGATTAAGTTCTATGGCCAACGAATGGCAGTGTGACTAAAAAATTTGGCTCGAACAGGCTGCCTTGAGAATTTCACGTGTCAACCATCTCTCGCCTTCCATCTATTCCTTCAGTACATCAACGATCGAGTAGGATCAATGCTACTACCTTCTGTTTTCTATCAACTTTAACCTCAGCAGAATTATCAGTTTATTGCAAAAAGGGGTATGCAAAGGGAGATAAATGGCGTTCAATTTGAGCTGGATGAGGTGTCAAAAGCCATCTGTTACCCTCGACAGGTGATCATGGCAGCTATGTCGGCAGGGACTGGGACTTAAGAGGTGGTAAGTTAGGTGGAGATGTTATATGTGTACTCGGCGGTGAACAATACGAGTAAGTAGGGAAGTGGATAAGTTGAAAATGCCTTTTGGGAACAATTACTTTATTTTGCAAAAAACCCCCAGACTTAATCTAAATAAAATGTCAAAAGACTCTGTGTCAAGACAGATACGTG